AGGACCAGCGTAGCCTCGAGCTCCACAAGCTGAGCTACGAGGCCCGCCGGCTGAGTTGCGAGGGCCACCAGCGGAACTGCGGAGCCCACGGGCTGGGCTACGCGGAGCACGAGCAGAGCAACGAGGGTCTCCAGCAGAGCTACCAGCGCCACCAGCTGAACTACAAGTTCCACGAACAGAGCCGCGAGAGCCCCGACAGCTACGATAGCCACCAGCTGGACTACGGGGGGGCACCGTGCCGAGCTACGATGGCCGCGATCAGGACCCCGGGGGCCACCAGCTGAGCTCAGTAAGGGGACCACGCGCTGAGCTGTGATGGCCGCGCGCAGAGCGACGACAGTCACCAGTTGAGCTACCAGGGCCACCTGCCGAGCTACTCGAGCTAACGCCTCAGCTACGAGGACCGCCTGCTGAGCTACGTGGGCCACCGACAGAGCTACGGGAGCCACCGGCGGAGTCGCCAGCGTCATCAGCTGAGCTTCCAGATCGACCAGCAGGGCTGCGCGGGCCACAAGCTGAGCTTCGAGGTCTGCAGGCCGACCTACACTACGGGGGCCACCAGCAAGGCTGCGAACGCCGCAAGCTGAGTTGCGCGGGGCACGAGCTGAGCAGCAAGGGTCTTCAGCAGAGCTTCCAGCGCCACCAGCTGAACTACAAGTTCCACGAGCTGAGCCTCGAAGGCCGCCGAGGCAGCTGCGAGGGCCACCAGCCGAATTATGGGGGCAACGAGCCGCTCGGCGAGAGCCGCGAGCAGGACTCCGAGAGCTACCAGCTGAGCTACGAGGGCCGTGAGGGGAGGGCGAGGAGAGCGACGAGCAGGACTTCTTCAGGACCATGATCACCGAAGGGGAGGCAGGGCCATATTTAAACTCACGAACCTTGCGCAACAAAAAACAGGCCCCACGACGCGACGGTGCCCATGGACATGAGCGCTGGTCGCCGGTGCAAGGACGGGGACGCAATGGTCCGCGCGCTGGGCCCATCTGGAGTCATCAATGCGCTTTTGTCCGCCCGCGACCACAGCGAAGCGCGCAAGAACGGGATGCCTATGGTCCAGCGACCCATGCCTACTTCCGCCGCAGAGCTGCCGACGACAGGAGGAAGACGAGTGCGACGACGAGAACAACCAGAGCGACGTGGAGCACGAGGAGAAAACCGAGGAGGACAACACTTACTCAATCGAAGACAGGTGGAAAGCTGAGTACTACGATCTGGCCAGCGATGACCGGGGAGTCGCGCCGCGGCGGCCTGCGACACGGACTACAACCAGGTGGTGCAGCCAAGAACAGGGCGAGACCGGCCTGCCTGAGGCCAGGGAACATTACGAATTACCATAGCGCTACGGACAAGGGTGTGCAAGGATATCTTACAGACAGCACTCTACGTCTACTGGTTTAGTGTGGTTGGTATCATCATTGACATCGTGTGCACGTCCGACAAGGTACTCTGTGCATTGCGCTACTGGCAAGGTGCTACGTCTACCGCGTGTACCGCCCCTACGGTTGAGTGGCCGCGCCGCTCTACCCACCTCCTTCTCTTTCCGTCCGAGGCCTCAGGTGGTGTGCGAGAGTATGGGCGGTTTTCCCGTCCTCCTGGCGCGCCAAAGGTTGCGAGAGAGGGGAGGTGGGGGCGGAGGAAGGGGAGGCGGAGGAGGGGGATGCGGAGACTAGTGTGGAAGAGAAGGTGGAAGTTGACAGTGGCGGAGGGGGAAGAGTTGTGGAGAAAACAGTGGGAGGGGCAAACGACGGGATGGGGTTGAGGAGGGGGAAAAATAGGATGATGATGATGATGATGATGATGATGATGATGAGGAGGATGATGAGGATGAGGATGAGGATGATGATGATGCTGATGATGCTTATCATGGTGATGAGGACGATGGTGAATCATGATGATGATTATCATGATGATGCTGATGATGATGGTGATGCTGATGATGCTGTTGACAAGGATGGTGCTGATGATGATGGTGATGATGATGGTGATGCTGATGGTGATGATGCTGCTGCTGCTGATGATGATGATGATGATGATGATGATGATGATGATGAGGAGGAGGAGGAAGAGGAGGAGGAGGAGGAGGAGG